TGTAGATAGTGCCACGACAGATTGAACAGTAGACTTCCAGCAAATAGGCCCTCCACCAAGAGTAAACACATACCCTGTCGTAGATCTTCTATTATCCAAGTCACCTGCATAATCTGAATCCACATATCCTACAACCAAAGGATTATCCCGCTGACTCCCAAAAACAATTCCATGTCCCACAGTACCCTTTAAGTACCGAAAGATCCACTTGACTGCATCCCAATGTTGCTTACCAGGTTTAGACATGTACTTACAAACTTGACTAACAGCATGAGCTAAATCAGGACGAGTACATACCATCGCATACATCAAGCAGCCAACAGCATTAGAATACGGAACCTTTGCCATATTTCAGCTTCCTTATCTGTCTTAGGGCACTGTTCTGATGAGAGCTTAAAGTGATTCGCCAATGGAGTGCTAACTGGTTTCGCGCTGCTCATCGCAAACCTTTCTAGCATTTTCTCAACATAACCCCGTTGAGATAGCCGCAGTTTCCTTGAGTCTCTGTCCGTGCAAATTTCCATTCCAAGAATTTTCTTTGCAGCACCTAAATCTTTCATATCAAATTCCTGACTCAATAAAGTTTTCAAACCGATAACATCATCCATGTTCTTCGCAGCAATCAACATATCATCAACATACAGTAATAGAAAAATAAAAGAACCATCATCAAGGCTCTTAACATAGACACAACAATCATACTCACATCAGTTGTAGCCAATCTTGATCATATAGGAGTCAAACTGTTTATACCACTGTCTCGGAGACTGTTTTAACCCGTACAAAGATTTCTTCAATCTGCAAACTAAATGCTCGTTTCCAGGTTGAGTGAAACCTTCAGGTTGTCGCATGTAGATCTGCTCCTCTAAATCACCATGCAAAAAAGCAGTTTTAACATCCATCTGCTCTAAATGCAAATCCCAACTAGCCACCAATGCAAGTACTGCTCGGATTGAAGTGTGCCTGACCACAGGAGAAAAGATTTCATCATAATAAACTCCTTTCTGCTGTGAAAAAACCCTTCGCTACCAAACGAGCCTTGAACTTCTCCCCCTCTTTTTCTGTTACTGCTGGTTTCTTCTTATACACCCATTTGCAACCAATCGGCTTCTTACCCTCAGGAAGGGGAACTAACTCCCATGTGCGATTGTGATTCAAAGACTCCATCTCCTCAACCATGGCTGCCATCCACTTGTCGTTTTCCTGACTAGTAACGGCATCATGAAAAGTAACTGGATCATCACTGCTAACAGTAAGTGCAAAAGATACCAAGTCTTCAAAACCCAATCTGTTCGGAGGCTTTATATTCGTCCGTATCACCCTGTCTCTGGCGAGACTATAATCCTGCAAATCATCCGTAGTGGAACCACCAGAAGTCGGTTGAGAAGTTTCTGGTTTCTCAACTGGAAACTGCTCGAAATCTACCACTGTCGTGTCTTGCTTCTGCTGCAACATAGACTGTTCATCAAAAACGACATCTCTACTAATCACAACTTTCTTCGCAACTGGATCCCAGAACTTGAATCCTTTGACACCTTTCTTGTAACCCAGAAAAATGCACTCCTTCGATTTTGCATCAAGTTTGGATCTCTCATCAGCAGGTACATGCACATAAGCAGGACAACCAAAAATCCGTAAGTTATCAAAACTAACATCATGACCAGTCCATACCTCTTCTGCAACTTTCCCAGCCAGCGATGCCCTTGGCGATCTGTTGATAAGGTAACACGCCATGTTAACAGCCTCAGCCCAGAAGTGTTTGGGAAGCCCCGCATTCAACCGCAAACATCTGGCTCTTTCATTCAACGACCTGTTCATTCGTTCTGCAACACCATTCTGTTGTGGTGTCTTGCGCACTGTAAAATGCCTCTGAATCCCATGCTCCTTACAGAATTGTAGGAACTGTGAATCTGTGTGTACTCTGTACCATTATCAGACCGCAAACACTTGATTTTTCGTCCTGTTTGGTTTTGTACCTCAGCTTTCCACAACTTGAACTTCTCAAAAACTTCAGATTTCTGTTTCAAAAAATACACCCAAACTTTCCGTGAAAAAATCATCAATAAAAGTAACATAGTACCTAGATCCACCCAAAGACGATGTCGTGGAAGGCCCCCATACATCAGAATGCACATAATCAAGAATCCCTTGAGTTGTGTGCTTCGTAGTCTTGAAACGGACTTTAGTCTGTTTACCAAGAACACAATACTTGCAAAAATCGAGCTTACAGCTTTTGACACCATGCAACAAGTTTCTCTTGTGTAATTCTGCCATACCACGTTCACTAAGATGAGCAAGGCGCATATGCCACAATTTTGTCGTATCATCACAGGACTCAACAGAGTGAACTCCACCTGCAACGGTACTCCCTAACAATCTGTAGATATTCCCTGCAGTCATCTTGCCTTTCATCACAGTCAATGCTCCTTTAACAATCCGAATGGTTTCCCTATCCTCGTCAGCCTTAGGGATAAAACCATTCTTGTGCAAAGTGCCCAAGGAAATCAAATTCTTCATCAAGTCTGGGATATGTCGAACACCACTCAACGTCCGAACGGAGCCATCGTGCATCTTAATTCTGACATCACCAATACCAACAATATTGCAACATCGATCATCACCCAAATAAACCGAACCAGAATTAACCGGCCTGTATGTCGAAAACCATTCCCTATTTGGCGTGATGTGATAAGAACATCCAGAATCAAGAATCCAAGCATCCGTCAATTGTGTCGTTGAAATAGAAAGCATATCACCCTCACTGCAATCAGAAGTATCATCCTCGACCACGTTCACAGACTTGGATGAGCCATCACGCTTCTCATCGGTCTTCTTTTTCAACTTCGGACAGTCTCGCTTCATATGTCCCGCCTCCTTGCACTTGTAACAGTGAATCGTCTTATCCCTGGATTTGGATCTGGAATTCCGCTTCCCGGACCCTGCCTTCTCTGGCTTCCGTCCACGATCTCGATTACCCTTGACATATAAGCTATCGGCTTGAGAGCTTTCCCCTGCATTCTGCTTCCGCTGGTTGTGAGCCAACAAGGCTGCAGTAATCTCCTCAACGTTGATAGTCTCTTTCCCATATGTAAGAGTAGTCACCATGTGTTCGTAAGAGGAAGGCAACGAACACAACAGAATCATCGCTCTGTCTTCATCCTCAATTTTCACATCAAGCCGAGCCAGATCAGAAACGATTTGATTGAAGACATTCACGTGTTGCGCCAAATCGTGATCGTCCTGCATCTTCAGCCCATACAGCCGCTGCTTCAGATACAGTTTTGTCGTTAAGGATTTGGACATAAACTGACTTTCCAACTTCCTCCAAATTTCGTCTGGAGACGATAGATGCATGACGTGATACATGACCTCGTCCGCCAAGCATAATCGTATGGTTCCTGCCGCTCGCTGCTGCAATTCTTCCCAATCTTCCTCATCCATCGACGCCGGCTTTGTAGGTCGCAAAGCCTTCAAGATCCCTTGCTGCGCCAATAGATCCTTCACCCTCGTTTGCCATAATCCGAAGTTACCCTGACCATCGAATTTCGCGACTTCGAATTTTGCTCCTGATATCTGATACCAATTGTTGACGAAAACGGGTAAAGAAAACGAAAGAACACGAGAATTTTACGAGGTTCGGCAATGTGCTTACGTCCTCGGTGCCTAGGCGGCGCTAGAAGTTTTATTCAATGATGTTTTAGGTCTAGGTTACATCTCTATTTATAATAGAAAACCCTGGTACATAATTACAAAATCAACCCTGTACCGTACCGCGGGGGCTGCGCCCCCACACCCCCAACCCACATAATTTGTAACCCCACAACGAGACTTTTTATGAGCCATACATAACAGGATGTTAAATTATATGTATAGAGTAAATATCAAGTTACATATGATCATATAGGATTGATCTTTATCTTGGTTTTGTGTATTGCTTTGAATGTGAGTCATTCATTGGGCTTTATAAGCTCACACTTGTTGTTAACATTTTTCAGAGGATTAGAGTTGAGTTTGGAGGCGAGGAGCTTGGCATCGGTGTGATCAAGCAAGGCTAAGGCATAAAGCTTTACGTATGTAGTTTCCGGAAACTTTGTGTGGCAATTTGGGGACATTTGGGACATAGACCTATTATTCACTTTGTTGGACTTATAAGGTTGGATTTTGGTTTGTAATAAATGGATTTACGATTGGGATTTGATGTTGGTTTGATTCGTTGAATTTGGATTTATAAGTAGGAACTTGTTGCTTGAAGCATGAGATTATTCAAATATTGTTTTAGACCCTAAAGAAGTGTTTGAAGTGTTTAGTAAATGTAACTTGGTAAACTAAACGTGTTAGACTCTTAAGTTGCATGAAACGACCTTAAATGCCAAAAATGAGTAGGTGACTTGTGCTTGAAATGAACTTTTATGCAATTGATGACTTTTGGGGCCAAATCCTTAATTAATGTGTTGAATTGTATTATAAAGCATGTTATACCTTTGTTTTGACATGTATGAAGTGGTTGAATAGTGTCCAAGCATGTTTCTAGTCCATGATTACTTTTTTATGTGGGGGATTAGTTGACCAAATATGCATGTTCTTGATTATTATTATTATTATTATTATTATTATATACCTTTACAAATATTTATAGATCCACCAATGAATTTATGTATTAATAGCAATTTAATATGTTAAAATGTGGATGTGCTACTTGAATTTTATGTTGCTTTCGCTTGGTATTTAGATTTAGATTTTTTTTAATAATATGAGGTGATTATAAGGTAGTAGTTATTAAGAAATTGTTTAACCTATTGACGATGCACATATATTTTACGAATGCAAAAGCTTGAACCTAGGATTTTTAGGGAGAATAACATCCATTTTTACCACTTAGACGACACGATGGGTTCTAGATTTAGATTTTTTAAAGCTTTTACATATAATTAGGGAAATCATATCTCTATATCCATGTATGAGTTACAAAATTACATAACATAATGTGTTTTACTCGGCAGAGCCTGTATGAGATGGGGGCAAGGAGGGTTCTGGTGACCGGGACTGGACCGTTGGGGTGCGTCCCAGCAGAATTGGCACAACACAGCCGAGCTGATGAATGCGCGGTTGAGCTGCAACGAGCCGCGGGCTTGTTCAACCCACAGCTTGTTCAAATGCTCAGCGGACTCAACGATGAGCTTGGATCAGTTGTTTTCATTGCCAAAAATGCAAACGACATGCACATGGATTGGATCAGTAACCCTCAAGCGTTCGGTACAGTTTCTTCCCGTATTTAATCTAGCTTTTCATTTTTCTCCCTAAAATACCCAGATATGATCCAAAAAAGCTTAAAAAGTTTAGAATATATAATTTAATGCTGATAGATTGCAACATATCAGTAATAACTTCACCAAACTGTAAAAGTTTCGACGTACTGTTTTTTGGTTATGTTAAAGGATTGATTCAAATTTTGGTAGATGCAAAAGATGGATAAATGTTTGTTGGAAAAAGGTATACAATAGAGATAAGCTTGTGAATGACAGATAAAAGCAATGGGACCATATTAAAGTAAATGCCACCTTTTGACAGATAAATGCATCTATTGGTGTCAAGGCTCAGCATAAAATCTAGGATAAACTACATATTTAGTCACTCAATTATCACTTTGATTTTGTTTTGTCAACAATATTTTTAAATCATGTCTGACGTTATATTTTAGTTTTGTTTTGGTCACTCATCGTTAATAATATAAACATAAATGTTGGCGTAACATTTTTTATATTTTCAATTATGATGTGACATTACTTTATGGTGGTACATCAGCATCCCCGTTAGTTTTTTAATATCGGGTGACCAAAATGAAACTAAAACATAACTTTCTATATGCTTTTGAAAAAAAATTGTTTGGTGATTAAATATGTAGTTTACCCTAAAATCTATTGTTGAAGGCTTGAAGCTATAAATTGAAGTGGTTATAGTAGCATTTGTATCATACTAACATATGCTTTGGAAATGGCTTAACACACATACTAATCATCTGCATAATATATGTTTTGGTTAGGTTTTGTTACATCAAAGGTAGCCTGCTGCGGGCAAGGACCTTACAAAGGAATCGGATTATGCCAGCATCGAACCTATGCCCGAACCGAGATGTTTACGCGTTCTGGAATCCATTCCATCCTTCTGAGAGGGCTAATAGATTGATTGTACAACATATCATGACTGGTTCCACCACGTACATGAATCCAATGAACCTTTGCACCATCATGGAATTAGATGCTAGGGTTTAGCAAATCTTGCAGTTGCTCTTTAATTAAACTGGGATTTCGTTTTCTACTGAATTTCTCCTTTTGGCATAAAACGAAACGGGAGTTGGAGATAAAATAAAAAGACAACAAATGACGAGTTTCGAACCTAAATTTAAGTTAAATTAAGCTAAAATTCAACTAGAATATTATATATTTAGACAAGAGATTGCAGTGTTATGTAATTAGTGTCACATTAGAATTCGTTTTTGTGGCTTGCGTCAAATTGTATGCAGTACTGTTTAATGTGTACGCATTTGTCATATTATTAAGTTATTCATAAGTTGGGGATTCTCGTTGCTCCATTATTATTTATTGTCAAGTCTTATTTTTGAGATGGTTAAAATAGTACCATCGAATAATTTATGTTTTTTATTTAATATTTTTGAATTATATTTAAAATATACTCAGTTTAATTTATAATTATAAAATCGTTATGTTAGATAGTTTCCAATTAAAATTAAATACATTTTAAGGTTATATGTCAAATTTTAAGTCATTCTGAGCTGAAATAATCATTTAATTGCATTTTCAAATTTAATATCAATTTGTAAAAAATCATACACATTACAAAATGTTCAAATCTAATTCTGTCGGGTTTCATTGAACATAATTGATTTTTGGGATTGATTGATAGCTCACATTTATATGGCTTTCTCTTGTGAGTAAGCGAATGCCATAGCGGTCATGATCGAGCTTAAATTCAAATACCTTAATCTCCTTAATGCCTGGAACTAGACAACATTTTCAAAATTAAGCAAGTTGCCTACCACCGATTGATTCGTATTTTTTATTATACTAAGGTGTGTGTCCAAAATGAAGCCCGAACCCATACCAAGTGTATTTGCTCCTATATTATGGGGTGATACATCACCCTCAGGGATAAGGTGAAGTTGTCGGAGAGTGCAGAGGGTCTCACGAAGTCACTGATCAGCAGCTATAGGGTCATCGTATCCGAAACCAGAAAATCGGTTATCTTATAACGGCAGAGTCTCTCGACGGGAAACTTCTAAGGGGCTACTGGATAGCCCTAATAATGTGCCTCAACGCCTGTGCAAGGTCTTAAAGAATGCCGCGTCATCTATCCTGGCCTCCTCCGGGATACCCAGACCCTCGGAGTCGGGAACAAACTAATCTCCTGCTAAAGAGGCACGACTCTTCTCACGGCCCTCCTGAGTATGGGCGTGATCATCCGCCATAACCTATGAGTTATCAAGAAATGAGAAAAGTCAGCATCGCCATAATCCATACATTTAAGTACATTTGACACTCTAGAGGCATGTACTTCATTGACACCTAACGACTCTGACTCGCGAGTCCTAAGAAAGACTAAATCCGACGTCATGATACCACTAAATGTAAAACTCTAATTCGGTCCGACCCGAAATCTAGAGGATTAGAATGTCACATAATGAAAATAGAGTTTATGACTCAATAATATAATAAGGTCTATGACAATACATGCCCACTATAATATTCGAGACATACTTTGATAGCTGATCAAGTATGGATCTCCAAATTTGGTGATGAGCTCCACAACGGGTATCTAAGAATTTACGCACTGAAACACATTCTATACGCTGAGCTCACGAGCTCAATGCCACACAAATAACCCAACTATACTACATGTATTCAACAGATGATCATGATATGTGCATAGTTATGAATCATGTATACTATTATAACACAACATAAGTAAGCATCGTGGTGCAGCCCAGGGTCGTTACAGCATTACGAAACTCACACCCATATTTGCTTGCTAAGGGTACCTTAGGTACGATCTGGGTCACACAACATCAGCATCTTACGTTACCCTAGGCTAGGTCCGGGTCACTTAGCGTCGTTGCCTAACCAAGCTAGTTGTTGAGTTAATCGATTGACGGAATTGGCAAAGAGGGGGGGTGAATTGGCAATAAAAATTTTGGTGGAAGCTTTTGCATAAAATTGAAAGAAATTGCACAGCGATTTAGAGTGGTTCGACTTTCTCAACCAAAGTCTACGTCCACTACCTTAGCTATCCACACTAAGGATTTTCCACAAATTCACTAATTTGTCTTTCTTTTGAGGACAAAGAGTAACCTTACCCTCAAGAATTATATCACAAATTCTTGAGAACACTCTCTCCCAAAAGAGAACAATACAAATTTGCAAACTTACAAGGAAATCCTCACAAGGTAGATTGTTTGCACAATTCTAGAACAAAGAAAAGAACACTCAAGAATGAATAAAATTGAGCACAATAAGTGTTCTTGAAAGCTAAATGAATATTGAATGAAAAATACGCTTGAAATGCTCAAACTTGAGGTTTGATGCTTTCTCTTTGATTCTCTCTTGATTCTAGTTGCTTGATGTTTCTTGTTATTGATCAATGGCTTCTAAGCTTGCTTAAATACACCTTGAATCACTTCTGAACGTTGGGGATCATTAATGAAGATAATATAGCTGTTTTAGTGTGAAATCAATTAATAAAACAGTTTGGAGCGTGGGGGGAATCTGTACCCCTTAAGTGGAATCGGTTCCCTAAGTGTAAAATTCAAATATTTCGACCGTTAAACAGGGGGGAATCGGTTCCCTCTGAGCATATTGGAATTCTCGGAGCCAAACCATTCAGGGGGGAATCAATACCCCCTTGGGGGGGGAATCGGTTCCCTCTGAGCATTCTGGAATTTTTGGCTTTGAAATGGTTCGAAATATTTTTTAAAATCGTTTTGAAATTATTTTAAGATTGAAACTTAATTTTACACTTGAGTAAGGATTAAAAATGACATTTGAAAGATTTGGAGTAATATTTTGATATTCGAATAATTATATCGAATATATACTTAGAAAATCTTTTTGGAAAATCTTAAAATTCATTTAACTTAATTTGTTATATCGAAATATCAAAATGTTTTCAACAATCTCCCCCTTTTTGATAAAACAAAATATTTTAGTAATTTTAAGATTTTGAAATCAAAAACGACGTTTTTGAAAATTACTCCCCCTTACTTTAACACTTCTCCCATTTAAAACATTTAACACTTCTTCCCCTTTTTGTTAAATCAAAATGATTCGTAAAATAATTTAAACAAGGTTTTTGAAATCATTTAGCCAATTTGATTATAGTTTTAAGCTGCTAAGATCACAATTAAGAGAAACGTTAGCCATTAGTTTCATAATCAATATTCATAAACAATGTGATATGGCAAAATTGGTCATATATCTAACATGATGTAAATGATGCAATAAATTTAACTAAACCAAATATATAAATTCAAACATCCAAACAAATCCAAAGTCTAACAATCCACAAAATCAAACATTCTAAAATATTCAAAATGTTGAAACATTAATCTTTTAGTTCAAAGTTCTAAAGCTAAGCACAGAATCAAACATCCGGATCGGGAGGAGGAAAACGAGCTCGCATAGCGGCCATCTCATATGAGAGTGCATCAATACGTTCATTCAACGAAGCGTTATTTGTGCGCATCTCTCGGAGGATTTCTAATTGTTGAGCTCCCATTGTGGATAAATGGGACTCTATAGAAGTAAAGCGTGAATCCATGGTAGCATATCGGAAATCGAATATCTCCATAAAAAGATTGAAAATATGGAGGCATTTGATGCGTTTGTTGTGCTTGCTCTTCGGGCTGCTCCTCGGGCTGTTCAGGCTCATCTTTGGCTTCATCGATGTCTCGCATTAATTGTTGAAGCTCGGGATCATCGTCAGCTTCTGGTTGAGCTCGTGAAGAACTAGCTCCCGGAGTATTTTCAGACGATCGTACCCATTCAATGGTTTCCTTATCCTTTATCCATCCCGCTCTCGTTAAAGAAAGAAGAATAATTTGTTTCTTTAGAGGAAATGAGGCATCTAGACCTACTCTAAGCCCGGCTTTAGAAAATAGATTACTCAAAATGCAACCGTAAACTAGAGATGAACAGAGTTTCTTGTTAGGAACAAGATTTACGGTTTTAACAATTTCAGCAAAAATGATCTTAGGTAGGTTTATTTTAATACAGTTTTCGAAACAATGTAACCACCAAAGATCCAAGGCTCTAAGAGTAGAATAACGACCTCCGGATGGTCGAAACCACCAAGAAATCATTAGATGAAGAAAACGTTCATGAAGGTCTAAGACACTCGCACTATCTCTTCTTTTATAACGAGAACCTAAAATTTGTTTTTTATTTGAAATACCATCATTATCTAATCCGAATGCATTGGCTATGTAAGCTGAGTCAATATATAAGAATTGTCCTAGGAGGTAGGAACGAACTCCTATGGTTTCGGTTTCAGTTCGGTTTTTAACACAAACGGCATTAGAATAGAAGATACAAACAAGTTGATGGTAGACAATGGGTTCAAGTTCAAAGAGTTTGTCAAATTTCCACCCTTGTAAAAGAGGAAGATATTTAAAATTAATATCTAACATAGCTTGACGAGAAGGGATATGTTCTTCTCTAATTTTGTAAGAGTCGAAATATTGATAATACCAAAAACGATGATTTCTTGGACCAGGATGATTGAAGCATGAGTTTTGAATAGACAAATTAGGATCAATGGGATTAGGATTAGGAATTGGATTTTCAGGAATAGGAGGAGGATTTGGATAAGGGTTGGATTGACGGTTTGAGTGACTAGAAGATGACCTAGCACGTTTAGGATTGGACATTGTTTAGGAAATCGGAATAGATGGATAACCTGCAATTTAGAAAACACATGTATGCAATTCAATCAATCCCAAAACTCAATTAAGTCCTCAATATTTTAAGGTTATCTAAATCAATCCTAATGGGCAAAGTTTTTGAAAACTTTTGAAAAATACGGTTTTGAGAAACAATATATGTATAGTTTTCATAACAACAACATAATTCAATTAAAACACAATAATTTGAAAAACAATTTTTTTTTATTTCGAAAATTTCTATTTTTTGGAAAATTCTTGTGTTTTTGATGAAATTAGTTGTAATATATAGTTTCTAATCACTAAACAATCAATGCCCGATCACTATTTCTATCTAGAACTAATTAAAACTAGTCCTATGTTCAAAAT